TTGTTTAAAGTCTTCCTCAGAAGTTTTGCCAAAAGATTCTAAGGAAGATGAGAGAGAACATTTTTAATACAGATTTGAAAAAAATGATTCAGAGCCTGCAATTTACATATTTTTTACCAAGAAAGGGTATAATCACCATGGTCAGAAAGTATAAGATACAGGGTAAGAGCTTTGCTCTGAAGAAGCCGAAATGAAGCACTGGTCCCCTGCATGTAGCCAGATGTGTTTTAAAATAGAGTTAGGAAGACAAGGCCTTTTTTCTTTTTTTTTTTTTTTTTTGCCAAGGGCAAAGTTTCAGATTTCCAAGCAGCCCATGGCCATTCTCAAAGGGAGATCAATGCGTTGCTCAGGACTGAACACCATGATCTCAAGTCCCTGAGGCCAGATCAGGCCGGAAGTGTGTATAATACAACCACATGTATTTCATCATGCCTCCAATTTGCATTAGAAACTTTTTTTCCAAGGTCCTCTGAAGGCTGGCTACTATGTTGTCTTTGTGGTTTGTTCTACAGATAAAGAAATTTTAAAATGAAGTTTTTTTGTGTAACAAAAAACCCCAGTAACAAAAGGGTTCAAGAAGCACATAACTTGTAGTAAACTGAACTCTCTTTTTGATACATTTACCATGGTATTTCATTGTTGGCATATGAGTTCATCTTCTAGAATCACCAAGAACCAAAACCAAGAGTAAAATAGAATCAAATATTCCTGGAACATAGGTGGCCAAAACTTCTTCCCTAGAAAGGCCATCTAGTACTTCTGGCCTTCGAGTGAAGGTCATGTTTTTTGTTCCATCATGTATATGTAAATGTGAATGGGATATAGTTTGCTAGAAGAGTCACCATATTTATAGACCAAGTGCCCTCCCCCAAATCTACATTTTGAAATACTTTTTCCAACATGGATACCTACAAATACAAAGACCTTTTCTTTCAGAAAGTGAATAAAACAATACTTATTCCAGAAAACCAGTTACAGAGGCCTCATTTATAGCAATATTTTAATTCTATTGGATCTTCAACAAACTTAATTTAAGTACCTGATAACCACCAACAGTTCTCACTAGAAAGGACAAGTAGATAAAAGATAGCCAGGGCTTGGGGAGACTTAAAAGAAAGAAAATAAAATAAAATAAAGCATATTTAGTGTTCTTTAAGACTGATATTGATTTGGGGGCAAGCAAGTATGAGGAAGAGTACGGAGAAATAAGGGCTTCTGAGAGTTTCTCCAGATGAGAACTCCATTTTCATCTCTGCCACTTGGTCCCCAGGGAAGCATCTCTCTCAGGTTCCTTGGGATTCTGATGTTTGGACCTGAAGGTAAATCGTCTTTTCTTTGGGCTTTGCTTTTCTGTGACAACCAGAAATAAAAATTAAAGTTAAAAAAAATAAACCATCAACGTCTCAATTAAGAAACTGTTGCAAAGTTGTACGCGGGAATAAGTCTCAAAATAAAAAGAGAACAAGGATACCAAGCAAGGAAGAAAAGGAGTCAGCAAACCATGGCCTGTCGGCCAGTTCCGGCTTGCAGCCCATTTCTCTATGGCCTGTGAGCTAAGAATGGTTTCCTACATTTTTAAATAGTTTTAAAAATCAAAATGAAAATATTATTTCTTGACACTTGAAAATTAGATAAAATTCAGATTTCAATGTCCATAGATAAAGCTTTACTGACACCTATTCATTGATGTGTTGTCTATGGCTACTTGCATGCTATTGAGCTGAGTAGTGGCGACGAAGACTGTATGGCCCCAAGCCTGAAATATTTACTTTGGCGCCTTACGGAAAGAGTCTGCCCACCTTTGAAGTAGAGCATCTATTATGTTGCTACCTAACTCCGTCACATTGTAGGCCACATTTCATTTTGCATCTGGGGTACCTGTCATTATTTCCGTCATCTGTAGAACAGGTATGATAACAATAGTAGCTGCCTCACAAGGTTTTGAGAGGATGGGGTGAGGATGCACATGAAGCTTTCAGTGAAGTCGACCTGCTGTGAGCACTCCATAAATGTTAGCTAGTGTTACTATCACTCTCATTCCCTGATGTTTTCCCTGGAAAGTAGGGAAGGAGTAATTGAAATGATCTCTCTGGCAATAGACTGTGCCTACTGCGTATGGAATTAGTATAGTGGAGAAGACAGCTAATGAAAAAAGCAATTATTACGAATTGTAAGGAGTATTATCGAGAACAGAGGATGTATAGGGAGGTATGGGCTCAGAGCAGGAGCAGCCGGCCTCCTCTGGCAGGGCAGGAAATGTTATGATGACAGAGTGAAGGGATAAAGCGAACATCCCAAAAGATGACAAAGTGTCTATCAACAAATTATAATGAAACATTTGAAAATCAGGTAATCAACATTAGCTATATATTCTACCACTTGGGACCAAAAAGAAGCATATTGTCAGCAACTACAAAATGTGTTAATAGTTAAAATAGAGTGTCCCTTATCAGTACCGAGAACTGCAAAATTTCCCAAAGTGAGGTTTATAGAGCACCTGAACCAACGTTGTGAGCAGAGCTTATTAAAAGCACAGATTCCTGGGTTCAGCTATTCATTTACTAAGTTGAAAACCTAGAAGGCCCAGGAAGCTGCATTTTTGTAAGCTCCCTTTGTGATTCTTCTGCATACTAAGTTTGAGGACCACTGAGGAAATCACACAATATGCAAGAAGCCTGGGGAAAATCTATGAGTACCTGCCATGTGCTGGGCAATTGATTAGCCACCGTTGCCTACTTTAGCTCATTGAATTTTCACAGCAACCCTCTAAATTGTTATTTGTGGCTATTTTTCAGGCACAGAAATTAAGTTTCTGTAGCGTTCAATGACACGCCCAAAGTCACGTGCCCAAGTAGGTGACGAGGCCGGGATGTGAACACAGGTCTTTATGACCCCACAGACTCTTCTCTCTACTTCACAGGGACACGTGTGTCCTTACTACGGAATCCACAGACCGCGCTTGGGCAGGGGCCTGAGAGATCACCTCATCCAGCACTGTTTCTTCTTCCCCTGTTTTATTGCTTTAAGAGGAGAATCTGAGACCCCATTAAAGCAGTTGTCCCTGTCACGAGAATGAATGTTTGAAGTCATTCCTCATGAAGAAAGTCACTAAGGAATCTGAGCCAACAATTGCTAAAAGGACAGACGGCTGATTTAAAGTAGCTCCCAACTCAGAGCCTTTAACTCGGGCTGAGCCGGATCTTGGTGCCCCTACAGTCAGCATCACAGACGAACGGTTCTCGGCTCGGCGGTGGAGAACAGCGACCGCCAACCGGAGGCGTGTGCCTGCTCTCCGTTCTTTCCCGAGGAAGTCAACGGCTACCGTGCGGCAGCTCCGGGAGTCACACGAGAGACAAGGCCTGGAAAGCTCTCCTGAATCTTCAAGATCCAGGAAATGCAGCGTGTTAACGATGCCGGAGGCCAGGTCTGACGCGGGCCCGTGTCCCCGAGCACCCGGGCTCACCTCCGGAAGTTCTCCGCGTCCTCGATGGTCTCCGGCAACGCCGCCCCCTTGGTCTCGGGAAGCAGCAGCGTCGTTGCCCCGGCAACCAGGCCGATCGCCGCTGCGAGACAGACAGAGCGCACGGGCCGTCACGGCGCAGCCGCGAGTACCGCTCACAGCGACGACGGCGCTGAGCACGGAGAGGCCCGCCCCGCGCGCCTGGGGGGACGGTCAGCCTCGGTCGGGAGCAACCCCAAACCGAGCAGTAGTGACCCGGCGAATGCCAGAGTCAGAAAAGGGGATCTCGCCTGCATTTCACTTCTCTGCAAAGATCAAGTTCTACAGCAACTGCTGTTGAAGTGTTAGGGGATTTAATGATTCGGGGACCTCAAGAACAGTGCGAAACTCGATTTTGACTAATTACTATAGCTATAATACTATATTAATACAATATAGTATTTATATATAGTAACAATAAATATAGTTACTATACATATTATATAATATACATATTATATAATATATAATATATAATATACATATTATATAATATATAATATATAAAATATATGTGATTATATTATATATTATTTTTATATATTATAGTTACTATATATGTGATAATATAATTATAGTTACTACATATTACTATTATTATATATACTATTATTATAATCTACGTATATATTATTTAGCATATATATTATATAGTATAATTATCATAATACTATATATTATATATACTATATATTATAATATATAAAATAACATTATGTATTATTTTATATATAGTGTACATTATAGTTACTATATATTAATATTATATTATATATCTATGACATGGAGCATAGGTAATATGTGTGGGCAGTGTGTGCCTCTCTTGTTACTCTCCCACTCTCTCTCCCTCTCTCTTCCTCCCTCTCACTCTCTTCTCTCTCTCTCTCTCTTCCTCCCTCCCCCTCATGGATTCACCTGGGCCCAGGCATGGCAGCTCTTTGCACGGTGGACAGTCATTTTGCCTTCCCCCAAGCGGTAAGCAGGGTCTTAGAAGTCCCAAGGTCTAGGTTTGGGGAGAGAAGGAAGAGTCCCCTCCTCCTTCTCTAATCCAACTTTATCAGTAACAAAGCTGATACTAAACTTTGATTCCCATTTGTCTCCTGCATCATCTTTTCTCAATTCTTAAGATCCAGAAGCAGAAGAGGGATGATAATTTAGCATCTTCAAACCTCCAGCAATTACATATTAAATGCACAAAAATTGAGAGTCAAATATATAAGAAAGCAGGAGGCTGGGTCAAAAGTTCTCTCAGATTCTGTCCTGTAGGATGAATTATTGGACTCTGGAGCCACAGGACTTAAACCTCTGGCTCACCTTCTAGGAATAGCATCTTATCTTTCCCATGAAGCATGACAGAGTGAGCCAAGAGACAACAGAAGAGCAGATACCCTCCTCGCCTTCAGGAAACTCACTGAGGGATATCACTCATTCATCAAATAGTTACTGAGTGATTAGGTTGGAAAGAAGGAATAATAAATGTCCCATGGAGTCTTACCAAACAACATGAGTGGCAAGCCTTGCCAAACCTCCATCAGCCTGAAGACCAGGAAGGGGGCAATGATCCCACCCAAATCACACAGGGAGGAACACACCATCACTCCAAGGTTCCTGATAAAATAAGGAGAACAAAAAGATGACATTTCTGTGATTCAATTTTCCAAATGTTAACCTGATCCTAGTTAGATCCAAACACAGTGCCCACCCCAAGTTTCAGGGAGGGGAGAGGGGCTGGAGATGGAGTTAATCACCAGTGGCGAATGATTTAATCAACCATGCGTACATAATGGAGCCTCCACAAAAACTCTAAACTATGGGATTCAGAGAGCTTCTAAGTTGGTGAATACATCCATGTGCCAGGAGGGTGGCACACCCCAACTCCACAGGGACACAAGCTCCTGTGCTCGGGACCCTTTCAGATCTCACCCTGTGTACCTCTTCATCTGGCTGTTCATTTATATCCTTTATTATACCCTTTATAATAAACCAGTAAGTGTAAGTATTTCCCTGAGTTCTATGAGCCATTATAGCAAATTAATAAACTCAAGGAGGAGGTCATGGGAATTTTGATTTATAGCCAGTTGATCAGAAGTACAGGGGGACAATACAGGGCTTACAATTGGTGTCTGAATTGGGGGCAGTCTTGTGGGACTTCACCCTTAACCTGTGGGGTCTGCACTAATTCCAGGTAGTTAATGTCAGAACTGAATTATGGGACACCCAGTTGGTGTTTGGAGAATTGAAGAATTAGTTGGTGTGAGTAGAGTTTTTTCTTTCACATGGAGAGACAGGGAACGGTAGAGAGACGGTATTAAGAAATAGAGGACAAAAAAAGTTAGAGGGGAAACAGAGAGAAACTATTTGAAATGACCCTTTTCATTCCTAGTGATAGTCTTTGCTCTGAAATCTTCTCTGTCTTTTTTTTTTCTAATTTTTTTTTGTGTGAGGAAGATCAGCCCTGAGCTAACATCCATGCCAATCCTCCTCTTTTTGCTGATGAAGACCAGCTCTGAGCTAACATCTATTGCCAATCCTCCTCCTTTTTTTCCCCAAAGCCCCAGTACATAGTTGTATGTCATAGTTGCACATCTTTCTAGTTGCTGTATGTGGGACGCTGCCTCAGCATGGCCGGAGAAGCAGTGTGTTGGTGCACGCCCGAGATCCAAACTAGGGCCACCAGTAGCGGAGTGCGTGCACTTAACCGCTAAGCCACGGGGCCGGCCCCTGAAATCTACTCTGTCTTATATGAATATGGCCACTCCAGCTTTCTTTTGATTAGTGTTCACATGGAATATCTTTTCCCGTTCTTTTACTCTTACACTATCTCTGTTTATAACATCTTTTTCCATCCTTTTACTTTTAAACTATCTCTGCCGTTAAATTTAAAGTAAGTTTCTTGTAGACAGCATACAGTTGGGTCTCACTTGTTTGTCCAATCTGACAATCTCTGCCTTTTAACTAGGCAGAGATTTATATTTATATTTCTTGTGATTACTGACATGGTTGGGTTTAAATCTATCATCTTGCTATTTGTTTTCTTTTTGTTCCATCTCTTCCTTGTTACCCTTTTCCTCTTTTTCTGCCTTCTTATGAGTTGAGTATTTTAAATGATTCTGTTTTATCTTCTTTGTTGGCTTACTAGCTAAAACTCTTTATTTTGTTTTTTAGTTTTTGCTTTAGGTACAGTACACATCTTTAACTCAGCACAGTCTAACTTCGCGTGATATTATTCCACTTCATGGATTGTATATGAACCTTACAACGGTACACTTGCATTTCTCTCCTCCAAGCCTTTGCACAATTTTACTTCTACCTAAGTTATAAATCCCACAACACGATGTTATTTTTGCTTTCAATCAGGGGTCAACAAACTATAGCCCATGGACCAAATCCAGCATTGTTATTGCCTTTAACTTAAGAATGGTTTTTACATATTTAAAGAGTTTAAAAAAAGAAGAAGAAGAAGAAGAAAAGAAAAGAATATGCAACAGAGACCACATGTGGCCCACAAAGCCTAAAACATTTACAACCGAGTCTTCTGTTTTTGTTTGTTTGTTTTCAGTAGAGGAGTTGAGCCTCTTCACATTTATTTGTGTCAGAAATGTTTGGTCTTAATTCTGTCATTAGCTTTTATGTCATGGTTTTTATTGTTTCTAGTGTCTTTTATCTTTCAATATGTGTTGGTTATGTATATTTTTTTCTGATAATTTGGAAGGTTTGTATTTTTATTCAAATGATTACCTTTATAACTTTACTTAGTACACTTAATGCTCTATTTTTCTAGACAGTATTGATTAACTTCCTATTGTGAGCAATTATAAAATTAATATATTTCTACTTCCGACTCAAACCATTCCTCTCCATGCATTGATTTTAGTTACTTATATCATTATTTTTAGTGTTTACCTTTATATCTTAAAATATACCTATTAATACTACTTAATTTATAAGATTTTAATGATACATTTTTTTTGCAAGCTGGAGACAGTGTATTGAGGAAATCAGTGTATTACACTACCTCCAACATTCTCTCTCCCTTCCCTTTCCAATCTTCATTAGTTATAGCATTTCTTTATATTCAGATTTATGACATTTACATTCTGTTCTGTAGCCAAAACCACATTCATTTTAATGTCACATTCAGTGATCACCACCAATAAATTCTGACAAATTACTCCATTTATTGTTGTGTTTACTGAGTTTCTTCTCTAATAGCTTTTTTGGAAAAGGTTCATAGGAACCACATTCTTTGAGATATTTCTAAATGATTTGCTGCTGTTTTTATATAGGAATGAGGGTTTGACTGGATAAAATTCATTGGGTTACACTTTCTTCCCTTGAGGTCATTGTAGGTCATTGTTTCACTGTCTTCATCAAATGCTATCAATTTGAGTTTCTCCCTATACATGTGACATAAACTTTCATCTTGAGTGCCTGATGAGTCTTTCTCTCTGAAGTATAGTCACTTAACTACAATATTCTTTAGTATTGTTCATTCTGGGTCAGTTTTTCCTGTTACACAGTGTGCCCCTATCAAAGCATAGATTCAAGCATTCTTTTATTTCCAGAGGTTTCTTAAAAGTCTTTTTGTTTCATTATTTCAGTTATCTTCTTTGGGATATATACATACACACACATAACTTCTAAGCCTTTTAAAGTCTTTGCTTATTTCAATTTTATTTTGCAATTCTTTTTTTTTTTTTTTTTAACTGGGAAAGATTCGCCCTAAGCTAGCATCTGTTGCCAATCTTCCTCTTTTTTTTTCCTCCTCAAAGCCCCAGTACATAGTTGTATATTCCAGTTGCAAGTCCTTCTAGTTCTCCTCTGTGAGCCACCACCACAGCTTGGCTACTGACAGACGAGTGGTGTGGTTCTGTGCCCAGGAATCAAACCCGGGTCACCAAAGCAGAGCATGCCAAACTTTAACCACTAGGCCATCAGGGCTGGCTCTTATTTTGCAGTTCTTAGCCTTCCCTTACTGTATCAATTCTCCTGTGTACTGCTTTCAAATTGGTTTTCATTTCTCAAATGTTTTCATTTTTCTTCTTTATTTCTTTCCTGAGCTGGCTTCAACTTCTTCTATTGTCTTGTCGCACATTTTCCCAAGAATGTATATCTCTGCTTTAAATTCTGATTTTATAGAGATAACTGATTCATTAATATTTTGCATTTGATTGTAGTATATTTGGTTACACTTTTCATCTGTTCTGTGACAATACTTTTCTGGTGAGAATTCTTCATTTCCCATTTGATTTTCCTGTTCCTTTTCCCCTTTTACTTCATGATAGATTTGTATAGCTCCTGGGCGAGTTACTTTTTTGTTTATTATGCACTTTTTAACACTGCGGTTTCTTCCTGTATCAGCCGTTTCAGATGGATTGGTGGGGAGGGACCAGGCCACATGCTAGGCTAGTAGAAATTCTCTTTGTGACCCGGGTTGTATGTGATCAGATGCTTTGGTCTCTCTTATTCCCAATCTTCAGGGCTTCAGAACTCCTCACCATGTGGGGTTTCTCTCCTTTACCTGCCACACAGCACCCTGCTATCTCAAAGTTTCCTGAATGTTCTCTCACAGCTTTGCTCTCTCTGCTTCACCTCCAGCTACATGACGCAGGGAAGGAAGCTTACGCCTCCAGCCCCTACATCCATCCTGTTACTCCAATCAAGAGATCGTGGGTTGTACCCTTCAAGCTACGTTTCCTACTTTGGAAAACTGCTGGCCTTGTCTAAAATTTGTTGTCATAAGTGTGCCTCCCTGGAATCTTCTAGACCCTCTTATACCTCATTGCATTAGGCAGCCCTTCCTACATATTGTCTTTCAGGGTCATCTTAGTTTCAAAGATGGCATTTGCAGGTTTTTTCTTTTTGTTCTTCTACTATCTTTGGTGTGATTTCCAAGAGGAGAAAGAAAAGACACCATTATTTTTTACTATTTTAAGAAAATAAGTCTTAAAAAAGAAGAAATTGTGATAAGCACACAGAAGCTAGAAGAAGTAGGGAACTGGGTCCTTTATTTAAAATTTACGTATCTGCAGCACTTCACTCAGTCATTCTACAATCGCTAAGTGACTGGTTAGCACAGCTATAGAATAGTTTCAGGAGGTAGAGAGGAGTAGGATACGCAGTTCCTGCTTTCAAGGAGCTCATAATATAGTGAGGAGGTAAAAATGGAAAGACACTTTCAACACAAGGCAGTGCATACTGATGCCGAATGTTCTTGACAATATGTGCTGCAGACAGGTAGAAGGAGGATGCTGTTCAATCCTAAAGTCTCCTGTGCATAAGAAGCAGGGTCAAAATGGTTTAAATAGTAACTATTGGAATTTGAAGTGCTTATAAAGTAATAAAGTAACAGAATAATCCTTTTTTTTTTTTTTTTTTTTTAGCAATTTAGATTTGATTGCATAGATTGAAAATACCAGAACTTTCATGACTGTCTTCCTTTTGTGTGTCTGGGTATCAAGTTTAAAGTTGTTTCTGAACATCTGGCTTCCCTTCCTAGTTACTGAGCATCCTCATCCAGCAGCTTCTCTCCACGATTGACAAGGATTCTTCAGGGACGGGTTACTTGTCCTTCCCCAACATGGGACCAGGCACTCAGGACCTTTGACAGTTAACGTTTTGAATCAATCCCCTGGGTCTGGTGGCCAGGACAATGGAAATGTTTGGCCTGGCTATTAGACTCTGGGCTCAGGACTGCCAAAGGTAGACTTTCTCTTTAATTTGCCTTCATCTCTTTGTACGTAGTCCAACAACCTTTTACAAACAAGAGTGTAAGACAGGGTCTGTTAATAAAAGTCAGGTGGGAAAGAGAAAAGAGTGAATCAGAGTCATCCTTGTGTCTTCTGGCTTACAGAGAGGCTCAGAGAGCTGCGCACGTGTAAGAGGAGACTGGGGAGCTGGAATAGTTCTTAGAAACCCTTGGTCTGATGACATGGGGAGAGGAAATAGTTTATAGAGAGGAAAAGAGGAGTTTAAGGAAATATGTCAAATTCTGACAAAGGTCAGAATTAAAACTTTAAAGTAGTTATAATTACTTTTATAATAAAAATAATCTTCATTTAAACTAAGTCTTCTAAGATATAGATGGCAATAAGTACACACAAAGATACTCAACATTGTTAGTAATTAGGAAAATGTAAATTAAAGTCACAATAATACCACCACCTCCAAGAATGACTTAAAAATTTTTTTTAAACTGACAATACCAAGCGCTGATGAGGGTATAGAACAACCAGATCCCTCACATGTGGCTGGCGGAATATAAAATGGTGCAGCCACTTTGCAAATCATTTCCATAGTTTCTCATAAATTTAAACACATGCTTACCATATGACACACTCCTAAGTTTTTACCCAAGAGAAATGAAAGACCGGTACGTGAATGTTTATTAGCAGCTGTATCATAATCACCCCAAACTGGAAACAGTTCAAATGTCCACGAACTGGGAAAAGGACAAACAAATCATGGTGCATCGTCCACACGCTGGAATACCACTTGGCAGCTAGAAGGAACGAAGCCTTGATACACGCAGCAACGTGGATGGATCCTATTATGCTAAGTGAAAGAGGCCAGACATAGAAGGCTACCTGCCATATTATTACTTTTACAGAACATTCTGGAAAAGGTAAAACCATAGGGAGAGAAACCAGATCAGTGGTTGCCAGGGCTGGAGTTGGAGAGGGGAGGAGATTGACCTACAAAGGGAGACGAGGAAATGTTTGGAGGTGATGGAAACCTCTCCATATTGAATGTGGTGGCGGTTACTAGATGCATACATAATCAAAAGTCATCACAATGTGCATTTTAGAGTGAATTTTGCTCTAAGAAAATCCTACATCAATAAACTCGACTTTAAGCAATGAGTCTTCCAGTGCTGTTGCGAAGTATTGTGTCGTCACAGGAAAAGCAACAGCGTCAAGGTCAGAAGGACGCCCTGCCACTTTCTAGCTGGCTGACTCTTGGGAGGTCTCTTTCTCTTTCCACAGTTCAGCTTCCTCGTGTGTAAAATGGGGATAAGAACGATCTTATCCCCACCGCGTGTCTAGAAATACTTTGTACATCACTAAACAAATATGAACTGCTGTTTAAGCAAGTTATGTCCCGAGGTGTCAATGGAGCTGCTGAAGTGTATACCGCTCGTCAGCCTCCCCTCCCTGTCCAGCGCTCTCTCCTCTGTTCTCTGTCCAGAGCACAGCGTGACCCTTGGTCAGCTGAACCTTCCCATTTCACGTCCTCTGCTGTAATCAGGCATTGACCGTCTCTTTGATGCCCAACCCCCATCTCAATGTCCAAACTGGTCAGCTCCGGGGGCACCTTGAGGGACTGTCATGGAAATGCTGGTCTCCAGGGAGCCTGGCCAGTGCACAGCTAGTCCCATGGCTACTTACCTGATGAAAGTCGGATACAGCTCTGCATTCACCAGACACACCATTTGGAACGCGATGGTGATTCCCATCCGGCCAACGCAAGCTACTGTGACGTTCAGCCAGTGTATATCTGGAGGGGAAACGCAGAGAAGGTGTGGAAGGCGAGTGGCAACTGTGCCCAGGGAGTGACCTCTCTCGAGAAGCCCCGTTAGGAAGCTTACACCTTAGAGGTGGAAGGACCAGGAAGATTGTCTTATCTAAGCCTTTCATTTTGGGATAAGTAAACTGAGTCCTGAGAGATTTCAGGATGATGACATGTGAGGGAAGACTCCACAGTGCAGAGGAAAGAGTGTGCTTTTTGAATCTCAGCTCTGCCTCCTGTCAGCTGCGTGACTTAAGGAAGCTGTTTATTTCTTTGTGCCTCAGTTTCCTCAACTGTAAAATGGGAATAATTATACCCAGCTTATGGGTTGTTGTGAGATTTCGAGATAATATATGTCAAATGTCCACCACGACCACTCCATAAATGTGGCTTTTTAATTATCATGCAATAGTGTCATTGCCCACACAGTGCCTGAAACACAGTAGATCCTCAGTCAGTAGACAGTAGTCCTGGAACTGAGACCAGATTTCTCATCCTCAATCTAATGTTCATTTCCAAACACATTTTTTAACCAAACATCTTTCATAATGTCTCAGAGAGCAAGCATGAGGGAAGCAAACCCTTGTCTCATCCTAGCAGATGGCTATAAGTTCTTTTACTTATTTATTTTTTTGCTGAGGAAGATTCACCCTGAGCTAACATGTGTGCCAATCTTCCTCTATAGTGTATGTGGGTCGCCGCCACAGTACGGCTGCCGATGAGTGGTGTAGGTCTGTGCCTGGGAACTGAACCCAGGCAGTCGAAGCAGAGTGCACCAAACTTAACCACTAGGCTAGGGGGCTGGCCCCATGGCTATGAGTTCTTGATTATGTGAAGGTCCGGGAAGCCCTCTTCCTTTTGCGGACTCATCAAAGAATTGGGCACCATTATCCATTTCACCTGGATTACCCCAAACACTAAAATGCAGTGGCTCCTGTGACATGCCACCTCACTAATAAAGCCTCTGGGGTCACAGACATGTCATCTTGACCCTTGTCCCCAGATCCTGGCTACCCATGGAGGACATGCTTCATTTCACTCAGCCAGTGTGAGGCTCGAAGGAGAGGGGACACGGTGGCCTTGGGAATGAGCTTGCCCCCCAGGTCCAATGCAGCCTCTCCCAGCCTCGTGCTGCTCTCTGCCTGGTGGAGAACACAAGCCGAGCCTTCAGATAAGGACGACACCCCCACCAGCTTCCAAAAGATAACAGACAAAGAGCTCACTTGATACCTACAGGGAGGGCCTTGCTCGCAAATTCTAGGGTCTTCAATCTGGTGAGATGCTCTACTGGACATGTGCAGCATCTCCCTCAGAGAACTGCCATTGCTCCCCACGGGCACCCAGCGACCACTCTCTACAGCCCCAGAGGGACCATCAGAACTGCAGTCAGGTGACATCACTTCCCTGCTCACAGCCACAGGGGTTTCCTGCCACGCTCAGCATATAAGCCACAGCTGTCCCCTGCCAACTCCTGACCTCACTCCGACGGCTCTTACCCCTGCTCACCCAGTTCTGGTCACGAGGATTCCTGCTGCTCCTCCAACATCCAGCTCTCCCCTCCTCAGGGTCCTCACACTTGCTGTTTGCTGCCTGGAAAGCTCCTTCCCCAGATGTTTACAGAGTTCCTTCCCCCTACATTCAGGTCTCCTAACGCTGCCCGGACCACAGCACAAAGAATTAACGCTCCATCCCTCTTCACCCTTCTCTTCTCCCTCTAGAATGTAAGCTCCACGAAGCAGGAACTTTCTCTGCTTTGCTCACTGCTGAGATCCTAGGGCCTGGATGCCTGCTGGCCATATAGAAGATACTTGAAATATTTCCTGGAGGAAGGAATGAATGTTTGTCACCTAACGTGATAATGACCAAGTAGAGGCAAGTGGAGAGGGTGGAAGCTGTGAGGAGGGTCCGGGGGCAGGACCAGAGGGCATGATGCCTGAGCCCTGCCCAGGTAGTGGGAGGGTGGGACCAGAGGGCATAATGCCTGAGGCCTGCCCAGGTGGTAGGGGGCAGGACCAGAGGGCATAATGCCTGGGCCCTGCCCAGGTGGTAGGGGGCAGGACCAGAGGGCATAATGCCTGGGCCCTGCCCAGGGGGGGGGGGGCGGGATCAGAGGGCATGATGCCTGGGCCCTGCCCAAGTGATAATTGATCGAGCTCAGACCTGAGATAATTGATCAGACCTCAGGCTCCTTCTCAGCACTCAGTGCTGTTACTTTAAAAAAAGAAAAATCTGCCCAGAGCCAGCCCTAATGGCCTCGTGGTTAAAGTTTGGTGCGCACCGCTTTGGCAGCCAAGGTTCAGTTCCTGAGAGTGGAACTACACCACTGGTCTGTCAGTAGCCATGCTGTGGCTACAGCTCACATAGAAGAACCAGAAGGACTTACGACAATACACAACTACGTACTGGGGCTTTGTGGGGGAAGAAAAAAGGAGGCAGATGTTAACTTAGGGTGAATCTTTCCCTGCAAAAAATAAAAAAATTAAAAAAAAAATCTGCCCATTCGTTACATCTTACTGGGATTCCAGAAATAGGGAGATGGGAAAGAAAATGGGCAAAATCAATTTCAGATGCGCTCTGCCCGCTTTGCTGTCTCTTGTTCTCTCCCCACACAAGGAGAGAGAAGAACACGGAGCTTTTTTTCCCACCTGTGTCTATTTCCAGCCTGACCTACACGGCATGGTTCTTGAGAATACGGATTTTATGAGACATTTCCCACAATACCCTGCACCAAAGCCAACATAACTCATTAAACCAGCAAGGGCAGAGCACAAGCAATAAAAACAGAAAATAGCAAATCCGCCTTGGTATTTATTTAACAACATTTCCAAAAGGCACAAATGTGAAAGGCAATTTAGGGACTCAAATTAAAAGTGACTACAATTGTTCTGCTTTGGCTTATCTTGGCTTGTAAGAATTATGGGCTGAAGTACACATCCACCAAAATGGCTGTATGAAAAAGACCAGCAGTACCATGTGTTGGTGAGGATGTGGAACAATCAGAAGGCTCGTGCATCGCGAGTGGGAGTGTAAATTGGCCCAAGTATTTTGGAAAGCTATTTGGCTGTGTCTGCTAAAACTAAATGTATGCTGCCCTCGGACCCAGCAAATGCACTTGCAGACTTGTACCACAGGGAAATGAGTGTCCACAAAAAGACATGCTCGGAATGTTCTCTGCAGCTTTAATCCCAATAGGCAGACACTGTAAACCATGCAAGTGTCAATCAATAGTGGAATGGATCAATAGTCTGGAATTCATACAATGGAACGCTACACAATAATGAAAAAGTATGAACTACACTCTCAACATGGGTGAATCTCAGAGATGTAATGATGAGCGGATGAACGGAGGAAATAGGAAAAGTGCATTCAGTGTGGTTCCATTTGTATGAAGTTCGAGAACAGTCAAAATTAATCTATGATGACAGAGACCAGAGCAGTGGTGATCTTGGCAGGGGGTGGTGAGTATGAATTGTCAAGAAGCATGGGGGAACCTTCTGAGGTGTTGGAAATGTCCTGTCTTTATCTAGGTCATGGTACCCAGGTACATACATATGTAAAAATCCATTGGTTTCTACACTTATAATTTTCCCATTATATGTATGTTAGACCACTATTTAAAATTTAAGAAGAAGAAACAGTTGCAAGCTAAGGTAATACTCTGTCTTTGCCCTTGTTCTTGTTCCAGGGGCTTATCAACGAGTTAAAACACTCTTCCCACGATCTGGTTCCCTGGAAGATGATGAAAACTCACCATGTGAGATAAAAATCATGACGAAGCAGGCTGTCCCCGCCACCAGATTTGACACGGCCAATGGGTAGATGCGGCCGACGCGGTCGATGGTGACGAGGATGGCGAAGGCCGCTGGGAATTCCACCAGAGCAGAGTAAAAGAAATCCAGGTAGAGGTTCCCGCCGGTGGCGCCCACGTGCATGATGAGGCCCTGATAGAGCACAGAGCTGGTGAACCTGAGCAAAGAGGGGAAACCGGGTCAGAGGCGAGCTCCGCGGAGGAGGAGAGAGCCCGGGTTCTGGCGGGGAGGACAAAGGACCTTACAAGCTGGGGAGAAATAGGAGTCACTTGATTTAGAATGTCCTGGAGCAACATGAGGGGGGGGATAAAAATCAGGAAGGGTGTCCGAGAGGGGCCCTCGGTGAGAAGCTCCTTTACGATTTATGTGAGAGTGTGGCTTACAGGATACACCCACGTGTCCTAGAGAACGCTGACGATGACTGCCCCTGTTCACTGCAGACCCGGGTGCCTGGCCCTGCGCTGAGCCCCGCACATGCTCTACCTATCTGATGCTCCAACAGGCCCACGAGGGGAAGGGCAGGAGAAGCGAGTGAGCAGGTTCGGGAATCAGACTGCTGTATATGAGCTGTGTGGCGTGAAGTAACTTAGCTAACCTCTCTGTGCCTCAATTCCCTCATCAGTAAATGGAATAAGGTCTTCTGAAAATGCACAGGCATAGTCCCACCCTGCCCGACCAACGAGATGCCCCCAGAGGGTCCTTTCACACTGGACAGCCCCTTGTTTCACTCTGGCAAGGAGACAGCAGGCTCTTCCTGATCATAAATGTACAACTCATGTAGGCCAGCCTTCGTTCAGAGAGATCGGGTCTACTTCAGTGTCACCCACAGATAAGATCTGCCCTCAGCAAATGGGGACAAAAGGTGTGTGACTGAGATATTTCTCTCCACAGCCCCCTCTGCTGCCCCCTCCTCCCTCTCCCACAATAAGTGCTTAGTATAGCTCCTGCCACAGAGTAAGCGCCCAGTAAACATGGGCTTTTGTTGTCATCATCACCATCATCTTTCCAAGGTCAAGTGTCTGGAGCACAGCAGAGCAGAGACCCAGCCAAGCCTTCCCAGCCCCACGTTGCTCCCTCCCCCACATCACGCTGTCCCTAACAACACTGTTTCCTGACTCTCTTCCACCCCGTATCCGGCCACACGACCCCTCCATGCCTATCAAGGAAAGAGCAGCAACGTCACAGATAACAGACTGATGGGGGCCAGCTAAGTTGCTCTCACTCAACGGAGAATTTAGAGAGTCTCATGTGTCATTTTTGGCAAACCTATATAATTTTGGAGGCTAGAAACATTTAACGATTATCCCAGTATTTACACTGTGAGAAGAGATTTTGGTTGATAAGAAATCACGGTCTTATCCCAGCATGCAAATTGCCTATCAGCTCCCAAACTGAGGTCACAGCTGATGTTTTTCATTAAAATACCCCCTCGTCTGATACAGCTGCACCCAGAGAAGCATTGGGATGCTGTTTTATCTAGTCGCAAATCATTCCCGACCAGAGAAAAGGGTCAAGACCACAGAAAGGCAGGCGCTAGCTTCAGCTCAGCGGGTCTAGATAAGCTGGGTGCCCCCTGCATGCTGGTGAGCCAGTTGAATGGGAACAGTCACATATTACTGATCAAGAGATTGATTTCCGAGAAAGGAATGGAGAACCTTGCTTTTCCTGTCCAACAGTTAACAAATGTGCAGGGCTGCCATCTTCTGGCAGAACCCATGAATTGCATGTACATGTTGGAATAACTGGTGTTGGTACGAGCATTTCCGGCGTCTGTCGGACATGGTTCTAACACACACGGTCTCATTAATTCTCCCAACATCCCTGTGAGATAGGGACTCTCATTACTCTCATTTGCTGATGAGGAAACTGAGTCACAGAGACATTATGAAGGTTCCTGAAAGTCACATGGCCAGGAAGTGGTGGGCACGCATCCTGCGTCACTGTAAGAAAGAAGGAGGTGGGAGAAGGTGTCCAGGGCCAGATCGGGGGAGGCCTTTGTATGCCACGGAAAGAGATTTGGTTTTATTCTCAGTGGATGAGGAGGGGGGAGGTTGTGAACAGGGGAGCGACCTGGTCTGTTACGCTTTAAAAGGATGCTTTGCCCACTTCGTGAGCAGAGCCTAAGAGGGGACAGGAGGGGAGAAGACAGACCAGCTAGGAGCCTGCTGCAATAGCATGGGCTGGAGATTATGATGCTCAGACAGGCAGCCAAGAGTGCAGGTGATGAGAAATGGCAGATTCTGAATATATTTTCAGGATAGAGCAGAATTTACCAAAGGATTGGGTGGCAGGGTGTAAGAGAGCAGAGGAGTCAAGAGCACCACCTTGGGAGGAGGGCATTAAAGGATGGAGAGGGAGCAATTCTCCTATCCTCAGTGGTCCCGGGCCTCTACTCAGAAGAGCCGTTGCTGAACCGAATACTGAGTATCAATATAAACGCACCAGGCACTGGGTGTTTGCAAAGGCTCCAGGGCCCCTCACGTGGCTGGGTGCAGGACCCCAGGAGCAAGCTTGGAGACACGGGGTGATTGGTGAGCCAAGGAGAGGGCATGGAGAGCCCAGCTGCTGTCTGAAGAACTTAGGATGGATTCTGAGGAACAGTGGTTATTCATTCACCCCTCAGCAAATATTTACTGAGGGGCTGCTATGTGCCAGGCACCACCCTATTCGTTCAAACTCTCAGTTCCCATAGAACCTTACATGGAAGTGTAAACAATACTGGTGCAGAGCAGCTCCATCTGAAGGGGGAGCCCAGAGTCCAGCTACTCAGCCCTAGCTGTTGGGGAGTAATTAAAGAACCCCCTTCACGTTGAGGAGAAAGCCCTGATGTTGGGGAACTGATATAATGTCCTCTGAGGAAATGGGGTGGGGGACGCCTCCTTGAGATAGCAACCTGGGAGGGAGACGCAGAGCCCTGGGGTGGGCAAGGTGTACATAGGTGAATCCATATGTGTACGTGAGTTTCCTAATCTGTGGATGATAAAAGCACAGACACTCTTGGGCAAGGTCTATGAAGTTCTAAGATATGAGGAAGGAATATTCCTCCTTGGAAGCACCAAGAGCCACTGAAATCTCATCCGCCTTCTGATGCTAAGTCAAGACTTGGCTATTCTCAAAAGACGAGACGCGTGGCATTTGAGACAGCCTTGGGAACCCTTCGTTGTATTTCGATCATCTTACTGTTGACCTCTCTTGTGTAACACACACTTCTTCCTAAAATGAGGCCTTTGCCCCATTAACCAGTCCTCAAGGGAGAAATAAGGAGGTCTTTCTGAGAGCTCTTTGACCATTCGAAAACTGGTTTAAAATTCCCTCTCACACTTCTCTTTTTCCACATGCATTGTCCCCCTGTCTTTACCCGGTACCCCAGCGTGCGGGCCAGCACACTGATTCCGTCTGGGGAGGCGTAGGAAAGGCCCCTTACCACAGGTACATGAGGATGAAGGTGTTCTTCCTCAGGCGCGGCGTGCGGAACAAGTCTGCGAATGAAGGGCTCAGCTTCTCAGTGATATCCTCTTCGAGAGAGAGCATCTAGGAGGGAGGGAGTCAGAGCATCAGCCACATTTAAGCCGCCATGAACAGAAAGAGCCCTCAGAGCCCACCACGCATGCTGAGGTTGGCCATCACCATGGCTGCACCCTGCACCCATCACCCCAAATTCCACCAGCGCCCCCTGCTTCTCGAGGCAGCCCCAGAGGCATTTTCTAAGTCATAAACCCAACCCACAGTTCAGTGACACTAGAAACCGCTTGCTAGCTTGTCACCTTTAGATCAGCAGGAGACAGTTTCCTGTTCTTCTGGGCGATATGGTCCATTATTTTTATTGCTTGAGTGTCCCTCTTTTGCGATAACAGCCATCGGGGAGACTCGGGCACACACCTGCAGACACAGAGCATTACGACTTGGCCTTTCCCCAGAGCTCGTCTGATGTTAAGCCCTGATCAGAGCGACACCTGCCTTCCTCACGTTGGGACTGTAATTCCTCAAGCAGCTAGTGGACCAGGCTCTGGGGTCATCGTGTGCTGGCCTGGGTGGCCCATGAACTCTGTGGGTCACTCATACTCTCAGTGCCACCTGCTAAGACTTACAGACCAAAAGGGAGCCATTGCTTCCTATGTAGCCTTCATTCCACGGAGCAGGGGTCCCATTCTCTCCTGGAAGCTGGCAGCCCTTGTGGCCCTGGGAAATTTCTCGCACACCATAGATGCTCCACAGTCTCCCCCCAACCTTGCATTACAGCAGGATGTCTCCATGCAATACCACGGCTGTTGAACAAGTCTCAAAATATTTCCCAAACAAAATAAGCTGTATTCACTTTCCTTTAACATCAAGTAGACACCATGCTGTCGATTTCAAATGGGGCAAGGATGTGACAACTCAAAGATTGGAAATCTCTGGCATAAGGTCTTCTGAAAACGCATGGGGTAGTCCCATCCTGCCCAACCATCAAGACTCAGCCAGGGGGTCCTTTCACACTGGACAGCCCCTTGTTTCACCCTGACAAGTAGAGAGCAGGCTCTTCCGGACCATAAATGCACAACACTTAGAGGCCAGCCTTCATTTAGAGAGATCGGGTCTACTTCAGTGTCACCCACTGATAAGATTCACCCTCAGCAAAATGTGACAAAAGGTGCGTGGATGAGATGTTTCACTCCACAGCCCCCTCTGCTGCTCCCTCTTCCCTCTCCCACAATAAAAACTCATCTGTCCTGTTGCCTCTCCCTTCAGGGCCGGCTGAGTGCTGACAGCTAATCAAATTAACACCTCATCTGGACTGGTTTTTCTCATAACGGCTTAATGTGCACATTCGCCAAGAACATTTCATTCATCCATTCATTCATTCAACAAAGAGCAAATGCCATCTCTGTGGCAAGATAGATTTTTGTCTGACTCGTAGCGTCACACGCCTCTATGTAAGGGGATGCAAATTTACAGAGGCTCTGTTTGAGGGTAGCTCCCCACTGGGAGCCACCCTGTAACATTAGAAGACCCCAAATGGCACACTGGGTGTCGGGAGCATGCCCGTGCCTGTGCGTGTGGCCACCACGGCCATTTGGAATACGGGCCAAGGTGAGCACGCGGTCCTCGGTTAACGGCTCGTGGTCCCGGGAGAGGACAGGGGGTGGACGCAGTACCAGTAGTAGAGCAGGAAGAGGAAGGTGGGCAGAGAGACAGTCAGCTGTAGCCACCGCCAGTGAGGAAGGACATAGGCCAGCCCGGAGAGCAGCACCAGCCCCACCGTGAAGGCCACCTGGTAGAGGATCGCCACCGTTCTTCTGTAGCCCGGGCCCACAAATTCTGTGACTGAAACAAGAGACATGTCACGACGCAGGCTCCTAGAAGGTGAAGCCAGGCGCTCGCATCCCCAGTCCCTTCCTTTTCTCCTCGCGAGCCCCCGAGCCTTGCGTCCACCACCTGCTCCCCAGCCTCCTCTCTGTGTGGCCTCCATTTCTCTGCCCCCAAATGATAACCCGGCTCAGTCCTACCTTCTTTCCCGTGTCAGGCTAATAAAACTCAGCTCATGTCTCCCCAACATACACCCTGCTGTCTTGTCCCTGTTTTTTCTCTAGCCATCCTTTTTGTTAATCTCTTCCCTTGCAGTCTACAGTTCTGCTCTTCATGCTTCAGTCTACAGGGCTCTCCTCCCTAGAGCCTTCCTCCTCTGAGCTCAGACTGAGCTAGAATGTTTTCCACGACCCCAGGAGAGCACATTAACTAACAAGTATCTTTGAGTGCCTGCGGGGGACCTGGCACTCTTCTGGGTGTTTGGGAGTATCGTGAACTCAGTCCTGCCCTTGCGACCTCACATTTTCGTGGGAGACGGCAGACGACACCCACAACAAAGGAGCAGGTTATATGCCAGGTCGTGCTGTGGGGGAACAGAAGTTAAATGGCAGAAGGGGAATCAGGACAGTCAAGGGTGGAGGAGTTGCCATTTTTCGGGGAGTGGTGGGGTAGACCTCATGGATGAAATGTGAGAAAGACCTAAAGGAGGTGAAAGAGTCAGCCGCAGGTAACAGGGGACAAGAGTTCCAGGCAGAGGGAACAACAGTGCGGTAGCCCTGAGGTGCGGTTGAAGAACCATAAGGAGATGATGGATCATGTGGCTGGAGGGGTCTCGTGAGAAGGAAGGTGACTGGGAGCTGAGTTCAGCAGGACAGTGGGCGAGGCCCTCCTTCTAGGGCGTGAGGAGAACATTGACTCTTACTGCCTGAAATGGAGAGCCCCTGCAGCAGAGGAGTGGCCTGATCCCGTGTCTGTTTTAAGGCTCACTCTGCCGCTGACGGCGGGTGCCGCAGGGAGACCAACGTGGAGGTGAAGCGACGGTGGAGGCTTGGACCCCGTGAGAGCAGCAGAGGAGTGAGATGGGCGGGGTTCTGGATGTATTTTGAAAGTAAAGCCGACAGCAGACTCCCTGATGGATGGAGATGGGCTATAAGGGAAAGCGGAGGCCACGCTGACCGCGAGACTGTGGCCTGGGCGTCTAGACTGAGAGCACTTTGCAGACCCGGGGGGTAGGGGGCAGGCTGCAGGTGGAATAGGTTTGGGGATGGGGGAGGGCAAAGTCGTGGGTCCTGCCACGTTGAGGGGTCGAGGAGAAGAGGAGGAGCCAATAAAGGAGACTGAGAAGGAGCCGCCAGCAGAGGAGCAGGGAGTGTGTGACCTGTAAGCAGGTGGGGAAGCCATGGGAGGAACGTACGTTGCTGTAGCTCTCACTCCATCACATAATTCCCCCTTTGGTGTCTGTCTGCCTCTCTCTCTAGGCTTTGAGCTCCCTGAAGGGAGGAAGGGCACCTTTTCTATCGTGGTGCCCACAGCCCTGTCACACATGCCCGCCACACAGCAGCAGCAATGCTGCAGGGACAATTTCGGGGCAGGCATTGATCTAAGGTAGACTCAGTGCATTTCACCACCTCCTTATGGCATGATCATCCCCACTTTGAGGATATGGAGGCACAGAGAGATTATGAACTTGCCCAAGATCACACAGCTGGTCACTGTGGGGCGTGGACTTGACCCCAAGATAATCCTTTTAACCGTGTGCCAAATAATGCATATTTAGCATACAGATGACAAGACTCTTGATAAATACGTGTGGAACTCACTAAACTTAACCAACGTGTTCATGGTTTCTCAAGGGAGGAACAGGATTTCTCTTGGCCCTCATGAGCTATTTCTCAGAAGGCCAGGTCACAGGACAGAGTTTTCAGAGATGCCAAGACAAGGCTCTTTCTTTTCTGTTCTCCACAAATGAGCAAAAAACGTGATTAACCTCACTGGTATCTGATGTGCCCCATCCACTGGCTGAGGAAAGCACGGATGACTCTTTTATATTACTTTCCTCCAAGAAAGTATTTTCCGTTTCCTATTCTTACCCTTTATGCAAAATTTGAAAGAAAAACAAGTTAGTATATAGAATTACTCGTGTTGGTTTACACTTCATTTTTTTAAATCATGATGTTTATCTCTTCTTTTATTTCTTCTTATGCCTTTTCTCCTAACTCTTGAGTGTCCTTCAAACCAGGTGAGTTGGATGTGTTCCTTTTGGGAGATGCTGGTTCTTTCACATTTAAAATGTTAGAATACTCTCCCCTGCCTGCTCCCCCCACTGCTATAAACACATGGACATGTGATCTTTTTGTTCCCAAATAGATTAGTTGATGTGGAAACACTGATCTGTTCAAGTGGTCATTCAAGTGTCTCTCAGACCAAAAAAAAAAACAAAGAAAGAAAAGGAGGCCGTCTCCACACCACAGACAGTAAACACAATTAGAGTTGCCACAATTTCTCTAGACGCCTTCCACCCCATTCTATGCCACTGCGTGACTCCGTGGTTCCTTAGGCTTGTGGATGCCTGGGGCCAGTGGGTACTCACTCAGGGTGTAGCCAGCGGCCCAGTTGCCCTTGCTGACCAGCCCCTGCAGCAGGCGGAAGAACAGCAGGGATGTGTAGTCTGGCGCGATGGCCGTGAGGACGCCCGAGATGGCGCTGATGAGGGTGGTGGCCAGGAGACATACTTTACGGCCAAACCTTCAGAGGCAGGGAGACAGGAGGTCAGGCGGGGGGCTGAGTATGTGGGGTCAGATGGGCACAATGAGACAGCAAGGGTTCCAGTCAGGGGACAAGTCACTGCTTTCCTGAGGGACTGTGGGGTCTGTCGGACATCACTGCCCCTCCACAAGGCCCGACCTTGCAAGGTTAATTACGACACTCCAGAGGGGAATCCTGATGGCTCCCAGCAACATGGCGTCTCAGCCAAGGGTGGGTGGCCTCCTTCAGCGACTCTCCCAGTTCTCACATTTGCCTCCTCTCCTTATCTTTGTTTTTAACAGGCTGTATTATTAACAAGATTTAACAGCGTGCACCAGAAACCAGGCTTTTCCCCCCATGTAGTCTTATCAGTGATCATAAAAATTTTTCTGGAAAAATATTCAGTTCTAATAGTATAACTATCAAGGAATCTTTTTCCTTTCCTTTTTTCATGAATGAAATGGGCAAATTACTTGCTAAAGTCTCACTCAAGTATCGTACTTTATTGACTCCATCTTTTAAATCTTATCCCACATTCTCTGGTAGGAAGGCAAGGAAGCAAAGGACCACCCTCATATTCGGTCCCAGTGACCTCGCCCCACACCTGGGATCTCTCCCTGGTCCAACAAACCCTCTGCTTTGCTGCCATCCTCCTTCCTAGACTCCAACATGTCTACTTCATTTCTCTACTCCATGTCTTCTGGCCTCAAACCTCCTGCCCCTTCCCAGCGCCACCCCATGCCAGCCAACAAATTTCCTCATCCTTTACTGAATATTGAAACTTCTCGTCAGAAACCCACATCTTCTCACCCCAGAATGTTCAGACCTAACAGCATCAGCATCCATCTCCTCCACCTTTTGTCCTGCGTCTCCTGCCAAAGGCCCTTCACCCTCTGCTCTCGGGCCCAGCCCCCTGCGTATGCCCCCTTGGTCCCTCACTCCCTCCACGCTGAGGTCATCCTCATTTTGGACCCTCCGTCTCTCCAGTTCATCCCCCCTTCAGCTGGCCTTTACATCCAACTCCTTTTTTTTTTTTTTTAGCCTTTTTTTAGCTGTTTTTGTTTTTTTGTTTTTGTTTTTTGTAAGGAAGATCAGCCCTGAGCTAACATCCATGCCAATCCTCCTCTTTTTGCTGAGGAAGACCAGCCCTGAGCTAACATCTATTGCCAATCCTCCTCCTTTTTTTCCCTTTTTCTCCCCAAAGCCCCAGTAGATAGTTGTATGTCATAGTTGCACATCCTTCTAGTTGCTGTATGTGGGACGTGGCCTCAGCATGGCCGGAAAAGCGGTGCATCGGTGCGCACCCGGGATCCAAACCCGGGCCGCCAGTAGCAGAGTGCGCGCACTTAACTGCTAAGCCACGGGGCCGGTCCCAACACCCAACTCCTTTTAAAGAGTTGTCCACACACACGAACTCCACTTCCTCATCTCTCATTTTTCTTCAACCTTCCACTGACACGTCCTTGCCATGGGTACTCGTGGCCACCACGTCCGTGGATTTTGACCACTCCTCGTCCTTGGACCAGTCTCCTCTCCTTCTTTATGGCATCACACTGACCAACGTCTACATGTTAAAGTTCTCTCAATATATTCTCTTCCACCTTCTCTCAAACATAGTTCATAGCTTTAAATAACAATTACAGGGGATAAATCCCAAATAGTTAACTCCAGCCCAAATCTCTCTTCTGAGTGCAACTCATATATCCTACTGGCTACTTGACATCTTTCCTGTGTGTCACAGGCTGCTCTGAACACATCTCCAATCGTAACACTTCTAAGATAGAACTGTTGATTGCTTCCACCCCCTTCACCCCACAAAGAGCTGCAGCACAGTCTGTTCCTAACCCACTCTGTCCCATCTCAAAGATGGCCCCGCTTCCACCCATCTGCTTGAAGCACAAACCAGGGCTTTATCCCTCTTTCCCTCAGCCCCTACCCCAACCCTACAGGCTGCATGCAGTTTTGACCTCTGAAATCCCTCCTAAATCCCCACCTTTCCCAGTCTTGCTGCCCCACAGTTGTCCAGAGCACTAGCTACATGTCTTGACTCCATCAATTTCTATAAGAGATTCCAGCGGGCCATAGTCTTCCATCACTGTCCCCTAAAATCCATTCTCCTCATGGGGTTGACACTAGGTTAGTCAGATTGGCCTTTACCTACCTGTCTGCAATGTAGCCGATGCCCAGAGAGCCCAGGAAGAAGCCCACATTCACACAGGACTGAAAGAGGTCCACCTTCCAGGAGTCATCACACACCAGGTTGAACTGCGGTCACACCGGGGTTGGAGGGGCAGGAAACACAAGACCGTTTGTAAGTCAAACTACACCTTCCATCCTCTCTTTGAACTAAGTAAATGCAGAACACAAAATGCAGCATCCTAGGTGTCTCACATCCTTCTCTCTTACCACATTTGCATAAGACAAATTCACAGCTTCTGGTGAATCTCAGTCAATATCATTCTATGTCTAATATCTTTGCTCTACCCTCACTGTTTATTCATTGAAGAGGCTGTTGTCATGCGCTTTGCCATTGATAGTCGCTTATCAAAGACAACATGGCTAATAGATAGGTTTACTAAGAAGAAATACGGCCAAGTAATTTTCTAAAAACAGAAATGTAGCAAAATAAATATATGTCTTCCAGAATGGGTCAAAAGCCCGTAATTAAGTACATATTTAATTATGTACATTCCACCAATAATTACGTAAATTCTGTCTCAACTGACAGAGCTGCGTGTGGCCAATGTGAGAAGAGCTGAGCAAAGACACAGAGCCGAGAAGGTGGGCCTTCTTGGGAACAGCACGTGCTCTAGCGCGGTGTGCAGCGGGACCTCAGGACCGAGGGAGAGCAGCGGACTTGGAGGATCCGATGCGCCAAGAGCCAGGCGAGCAGAGGGCGGAGGGGGAGAGGCAGAGGCGGAAGCAGGAGCCCTGCCTTGGGAAGGGCTTTATTTTAGGTTTAGAGCTTAGGGGAAGTCCCCCCGTACCTGGCACAGACATGGGTGATGCTGGCACATGCCTGGGCCTGGCAGAAGGCCAGAATGCAGGAGCATCGCCACTTCCTCTTTAGTGCTCAGAGAGGACAGAAGGAAAGATGGAGCTCCAGGGAGACCAGAGGGTCTGAAGGGGCCCTCACCCCTCCCCAGGCCTGGCACAGCCCTTTCTGGGTGGTGTCCAGAGACACATCCTTCCTTCCTTCCTCCCCCTGTCTCCTTGCACGGCTCTATTTCCTTGGGATTCATGGCTCCACCCTACCAGATGACACTGTGGGATGTGATGGCAGGGCAGTCACTTAGCAACTGAGGGCCTCAGTGTCCCAGTCTGAAACAGGTGTATTGTCTGTCCTGTCACACTCACAGAGCTACTGTGAGCATTGAAGGGGAGAAATCTTGTGAAAACGGTTTGGGTAAATAAGAAATCATTTAACTTTTTAAATGGAGGTTTTATTACCCACCATTCAAATCTCTAAAGTTGCCAGTCTGAGCCATGACCTTGTCCCAGCCCCAGGGGTCAATCATTAAAAGCCCCAGGGCTCCGTGCTCAGCCAGCCTGGGGTTCCGTCTTCCATGACACGAGCACTTTTTAAAATAAAATATAGGTAAAACTCTATGTTACCACCTGACTTTCAGAAACTAAGAATGAGCTGTCCTATTTTCTGTCTTATGCCCGGATCCCACTGTCTGCCCCCATGAGTAGCTCAGCTCTGGGAGGCTTGACAAGCTACCACTCAGCATCCCTCCCATTGTCGCTACTAAGCCAATGTTTATTCCCTTCAAAATTCAGCTGAAAGCTCCCCATGGAGCTTCTCCTGTGGTTCTTTGGTTTACCAGCCTCCAGGGGCCCAGCTATTAGTGCACCCAGGACAGCCCACTCCTGGGTGTTATCTGGCTGTCCTGGAGTCTGCAGCTCCAACCGCCCAACTGTCTCTTTGCAGCCTCCACCTACATTGCCCAAGACGACGTTCTGTGATATTAGGTTTCACTAAAGCCACAGGTTTTTTGACTTTTGTTCTAATCTTTGCCATCAGTGTCTCTAGATGTCCCTGCTGCCCTTCCTGGAACACCCCGGGTGCCATCTTGTCCTGTGTGAAGCCAGAGCTCTCACAGAGGTAGAGGAAGGGGCGTCTGGCCTTACCTGCCTACACTGCCCCCTCTGAGATCTCTGCCCCAGCCTACACTGAGGAGCTCTGTCTAGCCTCACCGCAAGGCGTGAAAACCTGTCATGCCCCTGCGCTCCCAAACTCACGCCCGACCACTGCCCCCACCCCCACCCCAGGGATGGGGCCCTAGGCCCGCTCACTGCTCCTGCTGGGCTCTCACCAGGGCCAGGGCCTTGTGTCTTGGGCAATGTTCACCAAGCTCGCCTGGTCACAAGAATCTCCCAGGTTCCTTGTTAGAATACAGATTCCTATGGATCCTGCCTCAGCAGGTCACGGATCAGAGTCCAGCTGATCCCCAGGATCAGGCAAGTTTGGAAACATAAGCACCTCTGTCACCTCAGTCTGAGAACTTTCATGTTCACTGTCAGGGGAAGACAGTGGCCCCCTGGCCTGGTGTGGGGCTGTGGCTGAGGCTGCGGCTGAGAGGACAGGGCATCCCGACAGGGGGAGTCAGAAGTCAGGGGACACGCACGTTTCTTCCCCAACAGACCCCTGACCCCTGTCCCCGGCTTGGAGGGGAGTGGAGCTGGGTGTTTAAACAAGTTGGCTTATCAGCCTCCCTTAAGCAAGCTCCAATGTCCAAGGCAAGGCTAAGTTAAAGATTACTTCTGCAGAAATGAATAACTAAGGTGAATTCCCCCCAAATAAGCTTAGGATGAGGAGTGGAGGCAAGGGCAGTTTTGAAGCAATCAGAAGGGAGAATTAAAGTGAGCCCACTCCTTCCAGGAGCCAATTTCTCCTGCCCTAGAGGCCCCATGCGTCTCACCACCTGTAACATCCCCAACGACTCCCACCGCCCTCTGAACTCGGCATGTCCCAAAATGAGCTCTTTCTCCTACACCACCTCCTCCTCACTCACTGTGAATAACGGCTCCAGGATTCTCTCAGCCCTCACCCACATTCAGATCCTGGGTCACCGGGAAGTCCACTCCCTATCAGCCCAGATAGCCAGTCGGTCCTCTTGCATCTGTCCCCTCCCCACCATGTCTGCTGCCCCGGCCTAGGCCACCACCTCGCCAGCCTCCTCCACCTGCCCAAACCACTACTTCTGTGTTCCAGCCTCAGCTGTCAGGAGCTCTGTTCGCCCATCGCCCCCCAGCCAGAACCCTCAGGCAAATTGGGTCCCTCCCTCTCCCCCACCCATGCCAAGCCCATGTCTCTTAAATTGGTTCTTCCTTTTGCTCCTGTGACAACTATGATGGTTGACATTTCTCACAGGCGCTCATTTGTCAGCCTCAAGTTCTCCCTACTTCTGGGGAAGCCCTACCTTGCCACCACCCTCTGTCCAACCATTTCCAAGGTCCAGCTAGGATCATCTTGCTCTTCTGCCTAAACAAGACCAAACTCCCTCATCTGGCATGAAGGCAAGGTTGCCAGATTTAGCATAAAAAAAATAGAAGGTGTCCAGGGGCTGGCCCAGTGGCCTAGTGGTTAAGTTCGGCTCCCTCCGCTTTGGCGGCCTGGGTTTGGTTCCTGGGCATGGGCATACACCACTTGTTTGTGGCCATGCCGTGGCAGTGAGGCACATACAAAATAGAGGAAGATTGGCACAGATGTTAGCTCAGGGCTAATCTTCCTCAGCAAAAAAAACAAGGTGTCCAGTTGAACTTGAACGTCAGATAAACGACATTTTTTTTCTAGGATAAGTATGCCCCATGCAATATTTGTATTCTCAGCCTCAGTTATCAGTATCAAAGATTACGCACTGTCTGGGACATAATTATCCTAAAAAAATGGTTCGTCATTTATCTGAAATTCAAATTTTACTGGGCATCCTACATTTTATCTGGGGATCTTGTATAAGGACTCTGTGCTCTGGCCCAGAAGTGAGACATCACTACTTTTCTCTCCAACGACTCCCGTACAGGACCCTGAATTTGAACAAATTTAACAACTCATTGCTCCCTAAACTAGCACACACGCCCTCTCCCTGAGCTTTGGCTCAAGCTTTCCCTCCCCATCCTGTTCCCTGTCCTTGCTCCTCAAAATACCACCCGAGGCTCCATTCAAATGCCACCTCCTTCCAGAAGAGCCCTGCTCAGCTCAGCAGCTAAGATCCCCTCCTGAGAGCCTGCTGACTCCTCTGCATTTGCCCACGTGTGGTCTTGGGTGCTGGTCTTAGTCTCACCACCCCCTCTCCTCCCACTCGCTGGGGACTGCAGACCCCTTGAGGGAACCTCATAGCTTCCTTCTCTGTCTCCCTCCCAGCATCACGCCCAGTGCTAGAACAGAGGAAGAGCTCAGAACACGTTTATTGAATGAACTGACGGAGGAGCGAATGCTTGAATGATTGCGTCTGATCCTGTACAAGCAGAGTACGTCTCGGTCACAGAGAACAAATGCTTCCCCGTCTTGGTCAGCTTCTAGATTCCCAGCAAGAATATTGGACAGTTCAGGATCCCTGGGAGGCGAGTCATCTGATTGGTCATCTGTCGCTGGAGGACGCCTTGGAGACCAGATGTTCACATGATGGCACATAAAGCAAATGGCACCAGCTCCTGCTTCTCTGGGGGGGCCTCACTGCTCTGTCCTCTCCCCCTGGAGAGTGTGCTGATCCGGCAGGAGGAGAGGACACTGCGCTTTCCTGCTGTGACAGCCTCAAATGTTGGACGCTGAGCCACTAAGCTACCTCCTGTTCCAGGCAAGCAGCGCCCTCGCCCAGCCCGAGCGTTGCTAACACAGAGCCTCTGCACAGGTTCGGGCCGTGGCTTCGCCAGCTGACCTCGATGCCAGTTTCCAAGTGCCCACGCCTGTCACACTGGAGACTTTCAAAGGGTCCATGAGGGAAAAAAGTCTGGTGTCTTTTTACTAAAATAGTCTCAAAGCAAAATGCTCAAATAACACATTCATCTGTCCAAGCAAGGCCCTTTGACACTGCCACCCTGTCCCAAAGGCCACCAACGGGACCACCCAGCATAACTCAGTTCATGTTTGGTCAGCACTTGGACAGTCCTCCGCTAAATTTCACAATCCTGTGAGGCATGTCATCATCATCCCTGGTTTACTGATGAGACAACTAAGGCTCAGAGAGACAGTAATCTACTCAGTGATGCTCAGCTCATCCGGGGCATGGCTGGGTTTCAGTCTGACTTCAAAGCCAGGCTGCCCTCACCTCCTCAGCGGCCACTGTTCAGCTGTCATGTGTCCATGACTCTTGAGTGAAGGGAGGGAACCCACAATTCTAATAGTGGGGAAGCTGTACCCCAAGTGAACTCTGTAGGCTCTTGGAGAAGCTAGTGGTTCAGGAAGAAGAGGAACCCCCGTCCCATAGACCCACGTCCAAACAAACTGGCTCAGCCTGGCTTGCGATGGTCTCTCTGACCCTCGGCTTCCTCCTCCAACACCCAGAGTCTGTGGAGATTAAACAAGGGAAGAATGCAGAACGCCCAGGATGCGTGCTAAGTGCTCAGTGAAGCTAACTCCCCTCCTGATGTGAAACTGAACCTCATAGGATTTGTTTTAAATTTCCTCCCTGCCCCTGAAACCCACACGTTCCCCAAAACACAGGGCCTGCTCTAACCTCGGTCACGATGGAGGAGCCGGGCGTGTCGTACACCCAGCCGTGCTGACAGGGGCCCAGCGGCAGGTGGCTCCTGTTGGCGGCCAGGCCGGCCAGCGGGTCCTCGCAGCCGAGGGCGCTCTGGTTCCAGTCCACCTCGTAGCGGCGGCACTGGCGGGGGAAGGCGTCGCCCGCCGGCCCCGGGCCCGGCACAGTGTAGTTCAGCTCCTCGGCCAGGCTCCAGCCACATCGCCGGCTCAGCTCGGCCACCCCGGGGCTCAGGCAGCGGTGGTCCGGGGTGAAGGCCAGGAAGACGATGCCCACGTAGATGGGGGCAAAGGCAGCTGAGATCAGGCATAGGATCAGGAAGACTTGCTTCTGGAACCAGCCAAACTCCCCGACCTTGTCCAGAACATCATCCACGGTGGGCATGGCTGGGCCAGCACTGTCATTGCCTTGACCAGACTGCTTCGGGCTGCAGCGGCTGGCTGGGGTCAATGTTTTATGTGGCTTTCTCTGCAATAGGCTGGTCTGAAATCAAGTTGCTGTCCAAGCATGATCACCTGGAAGCTGACCAAGCAGAAATAATCTTTTACCCCCCGGTGCCGGTTCAGGGCAAGGGTGGAAGGCAGAGGATGATGGCCAAATTGTTTGCTTGGCAAGAGAGCAAATCACCTTCAGCTCAGGTCCTCATTCTCTGGAATCAGAACGAGAGGAGAGAGTGTGGGGCACCTTGAAACCTCCCACAGTCTCTTTAGGGCACTTCCTAAGAGTTCACCTATTTAAAACTTTTTTTATAATCCAGATAAAGCAAAGACAGCAAACCGACTGCTAGGCACGGCTACAGGGTCAGTGAAACCCTGCAGCTCACTTTCCTTTAACTAGTCGGCCCCGCGTCCCACTGCCTCCTGGTGTTTGCACCCTTGAGCACGCAGGGACCTGAGACTGGCTTGTCCCCAATGGAATACAGCAAATGTGGCGATGCTACTCCCGTGAGTCCATCATATAAGGGTGTGATGGCCGTCTGCTGGGACTCCCTCTCCCCCTTGCTGGCTTTGAGGAAGGAAGCAGCTCTGTGGGGGAGGCCCCCATGGCAAGGTGCTGAGGGCGCCCCTGGCTGACAGGCAGCAAGGACCTGAGACCCTCAGTCCTACAACCGCAGCAACCACATGAGCTGGAAGGGGACCTCTCCCCAGATGAACATCCACTGCAGAGCATCCCGCTATGCTGCAGCCTCCCTCCTACACCTCCAGAAACTGGGAGACAAGTGTCTGTGGCTTTATGCAGCTGAGTTAGTGACAATGTGGCTACACAGCGATAGACAGAAGCAATAGCACTGGCTCCTGGGAGCAGCAGGGACTTGAAAGGCCCGGAGGGGTGAGCGCAGCCCTGCTCTATGTGGGCCTGAGGGCAGCCCTGTCCACAAGCCCCTCGGCTGCTCACCATGCTCCACACACACCCAACAGCAGCCCCTCCGGGACACCTGTGCTGGGCTCTGAGGCTCGGCAGCCCACACGCCTGTCCCGTGGCTGTTCTGCGGGTGGGGGCAGACGGGCAGCCTGTGGTAGCCGGGTTCCCCAGTCTCCAGGCCTCCTTCCTGGGTCACTCCAGGGAAACACAGAGCATGAGGCCTGCTCACCAGGGGACAGAGCCGGGAGGTGGCATCTGGTCCCCAGCCTCCACCCCAGAAACACAGAAGGAGACTCTCCCATCTTGTTCCCGCATTACACTACGAGGGACTCGAGGCTGAGAATGGTGAGGTGACTTGCCCAAAGTCACCCAAAAGTGAGCAGCAGAGCCGGGACCTGCATACTAACAGCCATAGCTTTGCAGTCAGCAGCCCAGCACCATGGGCTGCACTGGAAAGCAGCCTCTGGTTGTTCAGTTAACCAGTCCTCCAGCCTGGGGGGCGTGAGTCTGACCAAGGACCCATCTCCCCATGTCCTCCCCCCAACTTAGGACGGCCAGGTTTTCCAGGACCCACGTGGGACATCACCCAGCATCATTACCTCCCTGGGCAGGCTCCTAGCTGCTTGTGGAGCAACCTGAGTCCCAGGAAACCAGGCCACGGGGGCTGTCTCGGCACAGGGGTGGGACCCCGCAGGCCCTGGCCACAGTTGCCGATAGATGACTTCAAAGTGCCACCAGGCAGAAACGCCCTGCCTGCACCACCCCTGCCCCAGTTCAACCCTAGGAGAACTCGTGACACTAAGGGCACGAGTTGTGCACACAGGAGATAAACAGATGCACAGGTGCCAAGTCGGCCCTTCTGATGCTGGGACTCTCACCTCTGCTCCGTGGGCACTGGGAGCTGGCTGCAAGCCCAGCGGGGCACCGGCTGGTTGTGTGGAAATCACAACTCACCTCAGGGGGCTGCAGCTCTGCAAGCCCCTTCTCGACGTGTCTTCTTCTCCGGAAGTGTCAGGACTCGGTCTGGGAGGGAGGCAAGGAAGAGGGCCAGGGGCAAACAGCCCCAAAAGCAGGTCTCAGCACCCGTGGCTGCCCCTGGTTCCTGGCAGGAGCTCCTAAAACCCTTGTAACTTCCTGGTGATAGGAGTATCTTTTGTCCTAATGAGGCAACTCTGGGTGGGCTCCTGGATCGCTCCTGGATGGGGGCTGGTCACTGGAAAGACCAAGCCATGATGAGAAGCCTAGAATTTTCAGCCCCGTCCCCCATTCTCTGGAGAAGGGAGAAGGGCTGGAAATGGAGTTAACGATCAGTGATGCCTACACGATGAAGCCTCCATAAACATCCCAATAGTATGGGGTTCGGGGAGCTTCCAGGTTGGTGAACACATCCACATCCTGGGAGGGTAACCCATCCCACCTTCCCACCTCCACAGGGACAGAAGCTCCTGCACTTGGGACCCTCCCAGACCTCACCCTGCATATCCCTTCATCTGGCCGTTCATCTGTATCCTTCAGCACATCCTTTAATAAACTGGTCAATGTAAGTAAGTGTTTCCCTGAGTTCTGTGAGCTCTTCCGGCAAATGACTGAATCCAAGGGGGAGGAGGTCATGGGAACCCCTATTTGCAGCCAAGTCAGACAGAATTGTGGGTAACCTGGGGACCCACTACTTGTGATTGGCATCCGAAGTGTGGGGCAGTCTCGTGGGACTGAGCCCTTAACCTGTAGGATCTGGTACTATCTCCAGGTAGACAGTGTCAGAATTGAGTTAAATTGAAGGACACGCAGCAGGTGTCACAGAGAATTGCTTGGTGTGGGGGGAAAGTCCACACATTTGGTGACCAGAAGTGAAGTCTTCCATGTGAGTAGTAAGGGAGACACACAAGAGGAAGACTACTGGCTTTTTCTAGCACAACCGGCCCCGAATGTGCTGGATCCCCTGACATGAGTCCTCTGCTTGGGAAGCAGCCAGGGTTCGAAGGTCATGCTTTCAACACATCCTGGGGAGAAAGCAGGGCCCTCCCTGTCCCCACCTCCCCAGCCGCCATTCCAGGCCAGGCCAGGCCTGACGCCCACCGCTCTCTCTTTCTGTGGAGAGAGCAGCCACCAGGCTCCGGGTGGGAGTTGCCCTTCCCTGCTTCTCAGCTGGCTGAGCACTCTTTCTTTCGCTTGGACCAGAGATCAGGGAGGCCCTAACCTCACCCCTGCATCACTCCCTTTCCCCCATCTCTCAGCCCCTGGTTCCACGTAGGGGTGGCTGGGACATCCCGGGTAACCAAAGTTGCAAAAGAGAGAAGCGACCGAGGACTGCAACAGAGGCCAACTGGGAAAGGCCCAGTGCCACGGTCCTGCTGAGCATCTAGGATGATGGGCCAGGTACCTCGCTGAGCACACTACTCATTGTCTCATGTGATCCTTGCAAGAACTCCTGAGTCACCTATATGTTAGGGACAAGAAGCCAAGGCCTGAGAGCTCAGTCCCCTGTCTGCAGTCATGCAGCTGGCTCTATCCATTTCTCAAGAAGTTAATTCCCTGAAAGCCCTATCGCTAGTGACCCATTTTCCGGAACTCCCTGTGCAGCAATTCAACTGGCCCAATGGCCAGTTACACGCAGATTTCATGCTGATACGTTTCATTTGTTCCAGGTCAGTTCACCCCCCACCCCCACCCCGCCTTGGTACTTCCTGAGGCCAGTGAGGAGATGCGGGGGTGGGTAGAACCAATCACAGGAGCGGGACCTGGGGCTGGGCTGCTGGGCTCACTTTTAGGAAACAGAGAAGGAAGAGACAGCTTCAGGGGTGAACCCAGATTTGTGTGCGAAACCCCGCCCCTGGGGGCTCCCCAGGCACTGCACAGAGTCCAGGTGAACCTCACAATGAAGTGACTTTCAGCACGACTGGGCTGACCACTCCCTGCCCTAACAGCTGTGGACAAACAGAATTGCCTGCTGCCCGCCAGTGATCCGGGGTCCGAGGCGGCCGCTGCCCAGGGTGGAAGCTCCTGACGCTGGGCACCCCTCCTCCCCGGGCTGGGCTCAGGCCCCATGGCTGTCCCGGGCTGTGGGCCTCCTCACCAGGCCCCGGGGTTTGCTGTTTCCCTCTCTGTGCCATCAGGAGGGGACTGCCGTGGTGGGGTAGACCTCTCCTCACAGCCCTAACCCCCAGCAGCTTCTCCAGACAGCACCCTTCTGTTGAGGCCATCATGGGACAGGTGATGAACTAGGATGAGGCGTGTGGAAGCACCCAGAAGCGAGGAAACAGCATGGGAACCCATGGCGAGGCTCTTGGCCGGGTCATCAAAGGCACAGCCTTTCTTAGGGGCACAGACTGTTCCCCACACCCCAGGCTCCTCCTCGATGTCAGGAACTGGCTCTGATGACTCTGCTTTCCCCACACCAAAACCCCACTGATGGGGCCGGCCCCGTGGCTTAGCGGTTAAGTGCGCGCGCTCCGCTGCTGGCTGCCCAGGTTCGGATCCCGGGTGCGCACTGACGCACCGCTTCTCCGGCCATGCTGTGGCAGCATCCCATATAAAGTGGAGGAAGATGGGCACGGATGTTAGCCCAGGGCCAGTCTTCCTCAGCAAAAAAAGAGGAGGATAGGCATGGATGTTAGCTCAGGGCTGATCTTCCTCACAAAAGAAAAAAAAAACCCACTGATGCAGAAGGCAGACAAGCAGGACGCTCCCTCCTGGGCCTCTGTCAGAGGACAAGGCAGGGGGGCCCTCTGCCTCCTCTTTCCCTCTCCAGACATTGGGACTGTCTGACCCAATGGCCTGAGTCTGCCTCACTTGCCCATGACAATCTTCTTGTGCCTATCTGTTCCAGCACACATACGAAATGAAGCCACACATTAAATCCCTACTTACTGTCCCCACCTTCAGAGCTCAGAGGGCCCAGTGCTCACAGAGGTCACCACTGGGGCTGGAGGTCCCGGGAACACGGGCTCGCCCAGCACGCCACAGTCAGGCAGGAGCCAGGGCCGTCACCTGGGTCTCCAGCTCTCAGTTCCAGTCCCAAATGGGTGGGAACATTCTAGGACCCAGGTAGCCTGGGCTCACATCCTCAAGACGTCAGTGTCGAAGCCTTGCCCAAGAGAACCTGCTCGGCTCTCAGCTTCCCAGCCACCCTGTCCCCACAGAGGACCCCGTGCACTCATTCATTGCACAAATACGCAGAGCCTACTGTCTGCCAGGCTCTGCTCTTGGCACT